GAGAGAAAGAGTGCATGAGTGAAAGAGCGAGAGCGAAGGAGAGAGCCAGAGAGAGACACACACACACACACACACACACGAACAGTTTACAAATCGGTAAGCACCATGAACAAACATATAGGGTCGTAGGGCCGAGGGGTTGGGGAATGCGATCAGGCCACTTGTGCTGGGCATCCTTTGACAGCAGGTCGGCACACCTTGTATACAAGTCCATATATCATGTCACGGTGCTATAATCTGACGCAGCACCGGAGAGTTATTTGATGCAGTCGGGCCACGGCTTGGCGATCGACTCACGGATAGTCGTGAATTCCACCTTCACCCTTCAGGGCTTCTATAAATATCTAGACAAATACCGGGGTCACGGGTTCTACAGGGTTTCGGAGGCAAGCGACCCGTCTGAAAGCCTCGCCCCGCCTCTGGATTCCAGCATGATCCACATCCTCCATCTCCAGCTTGGAAACCAGGCCGGCCATCTGCTCGTACGCCCCCGAGATGGGCGTGGCGATGCTCATCAGCTCCTCAGCCAACCTTGGAGATTTTAAGGCTCATGTACTATAATATTATAGAGTTGTCGTCATATATATGTAGAGGCAAGTTGCTTGACTGTTCCTTCGGTCGGCTTGGGGTTGTAGGGCTCGTTGAGCTGCTCAATCATTCGCGTCACAGTCCGGCTTTTCGCCAACAGGGCATCCATGTAGCGCTTAAGCTCATCTTTAACCTGCATCAGCCCGTAAGAACAGATCGAAGCCCAACGTGACCGCACTATTTGTCATCGCATATATAATACTTCAAAGCATCAACCCCAATGTCTCGGTATATGTCCCCTCTTTCACTCGCTCGCTCTCTCTCTCTCTCTCTCTCTCTCTCTCTCTCTCTCTCTCTCTCTCTCTTTCTATCTCTTTCTCCTCTCTCTTCTCTCGCTCTCACACGCACTCTCTCTCTCTCTCTCTCTCTCTCTCTCTCTCTCTCTGTCTCTCTCTGTCTCTCACTCTGCTTGAAAGCCAAAGCCGAAGTACGGTGAGGTTCTCAAGTTGTATTCCTGTTATAGGGTTTGGTGGGATAGCATTCTACTTGGAGGGGCAGGGGACTTGTGTGGTTATATATGTATATAATGTATAAGTATAGAGCTTTAAGTAGCCTAAATGGAGTTGCCCCAATTATACCCCTACTTATACAAGTCCCCTGCCCCTCCAAGTAATATCCCAGCGCTAGCCTTCGTCTGCTCCGCATTCGCCTTCGGCGGCTCCCGGCCATTCTCCCTGTCCAAAGTCGGGTCACCGATAAACCCCGATGCAACGCCGGAAGCCACATCGACAGGGTGCTCGGCTGTTCCTTCCTGGCAGAATTCGGGGAGCGGTTTGGAGAGCCCTTGGCTTATGATGGATCGATCGATACGGTAACATTGGGGTGAGAGATATATATATATATATATATATATATATACATATATATATATATATATTGCATATGCAGTAAGATATATATATATATATATAATATTATATATATACCGCATCTATATCACAACGATCGAGGACCTAAAATATTCCCTCATCCCGAACCCAAGAAATGCGCCAGTGCACGCTGGCCAGGTTTCGGGCGGCAGGGTTTGGGGTTAAGGGTTCAGGCCCGCGTCAAGGGTTCAGGCCTGCATTGAGGGTTCAGGGTTTAGGGCGTTATAGGGCTACTTGCGATCCCCACCATCAACAGATCGATCCGAAACCGGACCCAACACACTGCGAGTTATAGAACCCGGCCTGACCTTTAGCATCATCGATACATCCTCGTTCCCCTCACCATAGCACCTATGCATAGGATATCATCCTGACTAGCATCACCAAAACAGATGCCGTCATCAAGCTTGCCATCATCACCTCACGATGCTGTCACCATGCACCACTCTGATCTCTTTACCATCTATAATGCCTTCATGGCCGTCATCACCATCACCTTAAATGAGGCCATCAGAACCATCATGACATAAATTTCCGACCCATCATATACCCGAAGCTACAAACCACCCAGAACCCAAAAGCCCTATTTCGGTTGATAGCTTTGGATTCGCGGAGCCAAGGATCCTGGGGCCGATCTATCTATATGCTGGCTGCCAAGGTGCGTGATGGGATGATTTGTAAGAGAAGGAATCCAGATAGGGACCCTAGGTATTCTAATCTTAATATCCGATACTAGGTTCTATATATGGTTGATATATATATATATATATATTATACATGTATATGTTTAGGAGGCCCGAGCTATAAGCTTCTGAAAGGGTTTCCCACCGGTCCTGAGCTGACTCATGCAAGTACTTGTCCAGCTCGCTTTGCTTGATTTTCGAAGTAGACTCCAACTCCACAAAATATTCTGTCACGCTGGTGTTGTACTTCCAAGGCCTCCCATTGCAGTTATGATCTGGAAAGTAGACTGTACCCTAGACATGCATGTTATCGATCTTGCCAATACAATCGCACAATACAGTAAGCGAACCTCGTGAGTGTGGCCGGGAACTTCAGGCAGTACTGAACCACTTGCTTGATCATGTCCCTGAGTGGGGACGTCCACTAGGAAAGTTGATTCAAGTTTTGCGAAATATACAAATCATGATTGCAAACACGGTGCTTGCCCCAGCTGTGTTTGTTCTTCATTCTTTCCTCCGTCAACCATTCTCCGGTCACCTCCTTCTCGCGTTGAAGGATGCGCTCCTTCACGAAGGTAACCTTGCAAACGAAGGCCGCCTCGGTTCAGATATGGCCCCACGCTTGAAACCACAATGGGTACTCATGCACATATAATGCGTCACAGGCACCCGCATTTTCTGATGCGGGGCATCCGCCCCCAGTTCCTTGATCGTTTCGAGCAGGGCGATTTCCAAGGCCTCTCTCGAGGATCCTCCGGACTTCCAATCGGCAGTTAGCTCCTCCGACACCCACGCTTTGCCGCTTTTCTTTTTTTCACAAAGTCGTTTCAATCTCATTCGTAGTGCGTCGTGGCTAATTACCTTTGTTCCGTCCGGCATTATGATGCTGTCAGCATCCAGGCTCTCACCGGACTCGCCGGCCTTCGCACCATCGCCCGACACCGAGTCGGGAGGAGCGGCATTCTTCGGAGCCTTCGGCATCGGAACGGGAGCCGTTCCAGCCTGGTGCTGCTTGATGATCTCGGCCTGCTTGTGAAGCTGCTCCTCCAGCAAGCGGATCTTCTCTGTCATCGGATCCACGGGCTTCGTGTCAGCCTTCTGGAAGCCTGCAATCAAGCTGGCTTGCTCCTGAAGCTGTCTCTGCATAGCCGCGAGCTGCTTCTCCAATGGATTGGTCCTGCGTGCAGTTGGCTGCGTCGTCTTGTCGCCTGTGCTTGGGCTCGGCTTTCCTGTGTGGGCTGGTGGCGTGACCGTTGTTGTGCTTGGGCTCGGCTTTCCTGCGTGGGCTGGTGGCGTGACCGTTGTTGTGCTTGGGCTCGGCTTTCCCTGGTGGGCTGGTGGCGTGACCGTTGTTGTGCTTGGGCCCGGCTTTCCCTCGTGGGCTGGCGGCGTCACTGTTCGGCTCTTTCCCACCGGCGGCGCGGGCTTTTCCGGGGAGGCTACACTCTCGAAGGTGGCTGTCAATCCAGTCCGAACCTAAGCTATTGATGTGCATGCAACCAAGTGGTTTAAGACAATACACACACATTCTCCGCCCCAAATTATGACACGGTACTTCTCCAATACCTCCACCATCATCCTCTGAAGCTCCCGGCTCGGTAGCCTCTGAATCAGAGACCTCCTGAGCCTGCTCATCCTCCTCACCCGGGAGGCCAGCCAGCTCTGCGAACTCTGGCTCCTGACGCGGTGTTGGGCGTGGGCTGCTCTTCATCGTGCCCTGTGGGTGTTTGGGATATGGCCTGTAGCACCGTGCAATGCAGGGGTTCTGAAAGGGCTTTCGGATTGCAAGGGGTGTGCGGAGTATAGGTTCAAGCCGGCCGTTCGGGTGTTGCGGGGCCATACAGGGGGCTGGAAGGGCTCTCTCCATATATACCCCGAACCCAGCCTCAGACCTATATAATATATATATATATATAATATATATATATATATATAATATATATATATATATATATATATATATATATAGTCTTAGTGTATATATAGGTCTGAGGCTGGGTTCGGGGTTGCAGGTTCTGCATGGTACTCTACCCCTGGCGAATCCTTGGGGCACATGGACAAGGTAGCACTGCATGTTTAATAATATGTTGCTAGGCTTTCCCGGATCGAATTACGAAAACCCGGCCTAAACTATAGTATAATTCGAAAATGTATAAAATAGGGGCTTTCCAATCTGCATGACCCTTTGCACTGTGCAGCCCTATACTGCCCTGAGCGGACCCTAGACTTTCAATTCGCAGGAATGAACCGATCCCCAAATCCGAAGCTGACCGTGCAACCAAGCCCCCGGACCCATCGGATTTAATTTAGGATTTGGGGTGTAGGGACATGTAGGGAAAGGTTTTTGCGCGTGGGGATCAATACATATACCCGAAGCCCCAAACCCCCCAAACCTGTACAATCCCAAGCCCTTTCCGGCAGTCCGCAACAGCCCAAGCCCCAAACCTTTCCCAAAAACCCGATAATATAATATTCCCAAACCCGAAACTCCAAGCCCATAGCGATCGACGGACTGTTCCCTGTATGTACGGCGCCGGCACCGCCTCCGAAACCACTGGCTCAGCGAGCACTGGCTTCTGCTGGCGGCGGGTCTGCGGTGGCGGTGTCATGTCCTGCCAAGTGGGGATTATATATATGCTCGACACACACACACAATCCCACACATTATCATACGCTCCTCCTTCTTCACTTTCTCTTGCTTGATGTGGCTCAGCTCAGACTCGGCTGCCTGGTATGGGATCCGAACGAACATATGATCATATCACTGGATTGTCGTTGGGAAGTTCAGGGGAAGGTTTAGACTTGGAGGGTCGGTTAAGAGTTTTATGACAAGTTGGGGTGAAAAGCTTCGGTTCTTTGCTGGTCTTTTGAATTGCTATGCTTACGATGTGCCAACATTGCATATGTGAGTATATGCTTTGAGATATGTATATAGGTTACAATAGGTATATATAGATAATGATAACTGTGATAATATATGTATACATACACAATAAATATAATATATATATATATATATATATATATGTATGTGTGTGTGTGGGGGTGTGTCTGGGTGTATGTATGATTTAGACATACATATATATATATACATAATTTATATATATATATATATATGTATAAATCATACATACACCCAGACACACCCACACACATACACATGCACATACACATGCATACATGCGTGTGTATCATGAGTGTCCACAGGGTCGGTTCTGTGTCTTTGGGGTGCTAGCAGCCTACAGCAAGGGTTGGATGGGAGCATCACCCGGGCCCACGAGAAATCTGAACAGAAGCCCCAGGAAAACCCTCCTGAGCCCAATATATACAATCAGATGTAGCTATCAGCCAGCCCCTAGGCCTGCAAACGTCGCAGTAGCTCCTCTCGGGAGAGCTCAGCTCGCTTCCCCGTAGACATGGCTGCACAATACTCCACACCCGCAGCCAAGGATGCTGCACTCCAAGCCCTGCTAGGAAGGGTCTTCGGCCTTCGCAAGGCCATCCTACTGATCAATGAAAACCTCTGCGGATTTGCATTCTGTGGCATCGAACCATCCTCCCATGTTGCACAAACGCGAGGCGATTGTCGACATCACTTCTTTATGGCCGATGCTGGAGTCACCGATTGATGGCTGGCTGTGCAAGGCACCGCGCCTACAGAATGCACTAGCGAGCTGTCCTAGAGGTACCAAATCCAAGTTTACCGGTCTTGATAGGGGCTAGTTTGGGCCCAGCCGTGAACACCTTTTAGGCGATCAAAGAACGTTCAAAAGGCATCCCCCCGAACGCTTTCGAACGCTTTAAGAATGGGTTAAGAATGGGTTGAGAACGGGTTGAGAACGGGTACGGGGTTTGAACGGGGTTTGAACGGGTGCCCCTAGAGTCGCACTTTGCACGGCCAATGAACGGCCTTTAGGCGCCCCGAACGCCTTCTGAACGGCTTCTCAACGGGTCCTATGTAGCGGTAGCTTACTTTACCTTAGATTTAGACCAAAATAGCCCCAAATTGCTACATAAACCAATAGAATCGACAATGACCCCTTTCAGACAAAACCAGGAGGATTGTAGGAAGGGTGAAGCACAGCCGATTGATCGAGCACCGGTGATCTCAGGGAGCACCAATTATATCTGTACATTCTAAGGTTCCGAATTATCGGGACGTGTTCAGTGTCCATATAATTAATAGCCGCTATCGGGAATGCTACAACATGGGTCTCACCAACACATCCTGATATGTAGCTTCACAAACGACGTGGGAATACACTCTTCACATCGACCGGCAAGCACAACAGCTTCGACCCGCGAAGATACACGATGGCTTCTAGCAAGTTCGCTTCTGGCCAGTCCCAGCCATCATCCCTGTCATGATCTGCCCTGGTGGAGCAGTTCTCGATAAACTGAATGGCAGTGAATGAATCAGGAGCCGGCCCCGGCTTCCCCTCTCCCTGAGAAACCAGTTGTGGCATGAGGTCGCGTATTCGGTTTCCGAATCCAACTGGGTATGACCTTAGGTGTCTAGCGTCAGGGTTGCATACCATGGATCAAGATGCAAACTATATATTGGGCACGCACACCTGAGGACTTCACTGGCTATCTTTGAGGTGCTTCGGAAGACCCGTCCATTTCTTCTTGCCCGTAGATTGGTCGCTGTCGTATTTGACAAGCTTACGCTTCGTTTTGGAAGCACGCACCGCTCGACCAAGCACACCTTTGTCCAGCAACGCCGTGGCCTTGTTGTTCGAGTAGCCATGAGATCTCTTCGGGGTCTCGGCACCGTAGTGCATCATCCACCATGCGGAGAGGTGGACCTTAATTGGCAGTTGTTTCAATTTCACGAGGGATCCCTTTTAGTATTATAATGTAGTGCACCAACCCCTGCAACCTCAAACAGGCAGACCTCACCTGTTTTCGAAAACCGCCCGACCTACTAATGGTAACGGTTTATGTATGGGGTCGAGGTCGCAGGTGACTAGTGCCCTATCTCACCTTTATCTTCCGAGAGTCCTACTGGAGGATGAACGACTGGGAGGCTGCCTCAGGCCTTGGAAACCTGGCCTGGTTTGATTATGGTTGGTCAGAATCAGTGGTTGGCAGCTCAAGATTCGGAGGGTTCGGGATGACCTTAACATATGATTATGCTTGGGCTTCACTGTAGATAATAGAGGCTTTGGGATAACCTAGCCCTGCCGTTACCTTCAATTTGGGTGGTCCTCTAGTCTGATTGAGGCTGCAAGATGGTAGAGTGCTGGCTGGCAATACAGCCCGGGTCGAAATCAGTTGACTATTGTATTGTAGGGTGCTATACTAAAGATTTGCGTCAAATATTAAAGATTGGGCTGCGCAGGGTTTCGGGTTAAGGATTTGGGTCCCGACCAGGTGCAAACCCCATAGTCAAATCCTTTAGAAGCTGCCCCCACCCTGTAATAGTGACTATATAAGGATTAAAAAAGGCCCCTATTATATTCCTATATTATACCACTATTACAGGGTGGGGGCCCCTTCTAACAAATCCTGTATATACATAACCCTAAACCCCGAAGCCCAAAACCCTCCAAAACCACGATTGCCTTGACGAAACAGGGCCTGAGCTTCCAAAACTATACACGACTATACAAGTCCCAAGAACAGTCCCAAACTGTAAGGGTTTCAATTATGTGTGCATTTAGGGTGTATATGTGTATAATATATGTATGTGTATGTGTGTATATATATATAATATATATATATATATATATATATATATATGTATGCACCTTTCCAAATGACCTCATAATTGGGTACTTGGGTTTCGGAGTGTAGCAATTATAAGTTTTGGGGAGTATTTGGGCAGGAGGCAAAAACCCGGGGAAGCATTTTTGGTATGTATGTATATATATATATATATTATATTATATAGGTCGCACATGGTAAAAAAATATGATGACGCGCGGGCATCATATTTTTTTGCCATGCCAAAACCGCATAAACCCCTTCCCGGGCCCATCTCATCAGGATCTTTGGGCCTGCCCTGTCCCGACCTTCAACGATTGGTGGCGGCTTAATCAGGCCAGGCAACGAATGCTGGCTTGAGGGTTCAGGGCTGACTAGAGACCTTTAGAAGCATGGTTTAGGGGTAAGGGTTTGTAGGGGTGTGTGTGTGTATATATATGTATTGTGCAATTGCACATACGTGTGCATGTCTGTACATACCTACACATGTCTCAAGCGGCACATATGGAGCTCTGCTTACTCTTCCTGTTCTCGAGCCCAGGACCCTGTAGATCAATAACCATAATCCATCGAGCAAGGCAAATTCCCAAGCCCAGCCCGAAAGCTTAGAGGTTGTTCGACATTTAGCGAAGCATCGAGCAGGCCCGAACAGCTTTACAGATCCCTTGGCGTCCTGCAGCAAGCAACCCGAAGCCTGATTCAAAACCCGAACCCTGAGCATGGCGCTGGCTACCCAGCCCATTCAGCTGAGAAGCTGCAGAGTCGAGTTGCAAATCCCAGAAGCGATTGTACCACCGAAGCACACTTGATGAGGGCTGCTCGACCAAGTAGCTCCCCCCACGTGCAATCACGAGCTTCAGTAAGAGGCACATCCTGAGCAGCACATGGGATCGGGGGATTAACATATACATGCATGCGAATCATGCATTTTTCAAGCAGCGCCCATATTTAGTGCAGCATTGAAACCTCGAGGCCATAGAATTCGCGGAAAGGATTCTAGGCTGCGTTACGTCACCTTGTGGCAGGAGAACGGACCTTTTGCTTATGTAGGCATTCGTCCGCACCCAAGACGAGCACACGATTCCCCATATGGTAATGAACTCGTCTTCTTTCGCCGCTAGGATAAGCCATATACCAAGCCTCAGTCATTCCGCAGCGGAACAGCCAAACCAATTAGTTGGCCTATACTGTCACACCGACACATGCAATGCTTCAGGCCCCAGCGCAAGTCCCGAAGCACTCAAGATGTCGAAAGGGTTGGATTGTGTACCCGAAATGCCATCGAAGTAGGATATGTCCACGGCACAAGATGGATACCCGGAGTTGGAGACCGAGCGGAAAACATTCGCTTTCCCGGCGAAGAACTCACAGTATTGGATCTCCTGGTGCATATCGGTTTCTATCGAGTTTCCAATTTAGGATTTCGCAAATTCCTCTGAAGCACATGTCCTGGTTCAGCATCCCAAGCTTGGTGTAATAGACAAGAACCACACATAGGATGAACACCTAAGTTGCCGTTTCTCTTTGGAGGACTAGATGATTCGTGGGTATATATACTGCAGCTCGGGGACAGCTGGGCACTTCAATTCCTTCAGCCGCCAAACCAATTGGTCAATGTATGCCATCGTCAGAAGGCGACCGCTAGAAACCTCTAGACTTGTACGATATGCCAGCAATGCTGCTAGCTGTAATTTGTGAGATGCACATGTATATTCATAAAAAGCGCCTGCGTGTGTCCGGCCTTCGCAGGAAAACTGCGAGCGGTGGAGAGGCCGTCAGTTTAAGGACGTATATATAGGGCTTAGGGAATTGAGTTCGGGTGTGGGTTCAGAAAGTTGGCGTTCTCGGGCTTGGAGTTTAGAGTTAAGGGTTTAGGGTGTGGGGCTTGGGTTAGTATATAGGGATTTATGATCTGATTTAAGCTTTGGGCGCCTGTTTTCTGTAGGGACTTTATTGGGGCACAACATGTACACTATACTTATCCCTAAGGCTCCATGTACCTATATATATATACATATATATATATATAGGGACCCCTTTAAATAAGTATATATATATATATATATATAAGATAAAGGTACATGGAGCCTTTGGGAAGGGCCCTGGAGCTGGTCTTGATAATGATTTGGACTGCTAAGAGACTCCAATATCCCTTTAGTTAAGGAAATTTAATACTTTTTAGATAGTAGGACCCCTAATAGGATTTATATAAGGAATCATTAATTTAAGGGATGTTGGAGTCTCTGGGCTCGGCCTTGTGAGGGTTATTCGGCTTCGGGGGTTTCGGCGCTCACACTCCGACAATCCAGGCTTTGGGGGTTTAAGGGCTTAGAGTTCAGGGTTCCTATATATAGTGCTGCTACTCTACTACTATACGACTACTACTACTGGTACTACTTCGACTGCTACTTGTTCTACAATACTCCTACTCCTACTCTTACTCCTACTCCTACTACTACGACTACTACTACTACTACTACTACTACTACTACTACTACTACTACTACTACTACTACTACTACTACTACTACTAAAGGACTGCTACTTTCGGTGCTACTCCTACGATAAATACAACGAAAGCTTCGCACGAGTCACCTGTTTTCGCTGTCCAAACAGTGCATGGGTCAGACTGGACGAACTTGGTTACAAACTTGTGCCGGCCTTGCATGTATACATCAGATTTACCATTCGACGAATTGAAGAATTCGCCTGTGCCAGCCACATTTAGATGTACAGATCTCTAGCCATGTCCACCTTGAGTTTCCACCACGGTGTTGTCAGCGCTTCGTACATAGAATTGATCTTGGACTTCCACACGAAAGTTTCTCTTTCACGAACGCTTTTCGCGCACTCCACTGGTAACCGAGGAGTCACAGGAGGAGATATATCAGCCATCGAAGCCCAATTCTGTTTTCGCAGGAATTGGTACCTATGCGTGCTCTTCACAGACTCGATAAATATCTGGCGTTTTTCCCAGCGGTGGCTCATCTGCACGTCACTTTCAGGGAGCAACGTCGGTGGCGGGCAAGACATCGCGAAAAGAAGCTTCTTGTATACTATACTACTATACTACTGTACTACTATACTACACTACTATAGTACTATACATGTACTATAGGTCATGTATACTATATGCACGTATAATATATCTATATATGGGAATATGTACTCTACTAGGCTATACTGTAGTGTACTAGACTATAGTTATATTATATATAATTACCATACTACTCCTACTAGTACTACTACTACTACTACTACTACTACTACTACTACTACTACTACTACTACTACTACTACTGCTACTGAGCGCCCGTGGGGCTTCTGGGCCTGGTTTTGGGTGGCCAAAATGTAGTTCAGCAGCTAAACTACACGTCTTGCGGGTTCTGGAAGGCTCTTGGGAGGGTCTTTGCTGGTGTGACATGTCGTCTGGCAATCCTTTCGCATAGTCTTTATCAATCCTACGAGCGCCCGTGGGGCTTCTGGGCCTGGTTTTGGGTGGCCAAAATGTAGTTCAGCAGCTAAACTACACGTCTTGCGGGTTCTGGAAGGCTCTTGGGAGGGTCCTTGCTGGTGTGACATGTCGTCTGGCAATCCTTTCGCATAGTCTTTATCAATCCTACTGCTACTGTACTGCTACTGCTACTACTATATACTACTATTATTATTACTACTACTACTACTACTACTATACTACTATATATAACATACTAATACTATACTGACAGTTGCCAGGTCTGACAAGATTTTGCCAAGCGCCATTGATTATATATACTGCTGCTATACGACGACGACTACACTAACACTATACTAGTCATACATTCTACCATCGTACCACAATATTTGTATGATTGCGGCCATTCGTAATATGCTACTCGTCGCGCTAAACACTGCTACCAACACATATCTGTCGGCATTGTGGATCCGAAAGCAGCACAGGGTGTGGATCAGAAATGAGACGTTATCTCGAAGCCAAGATGCCTCTTTGAGCCTCGTTAGGGTTTTGGGCAGTTAAGGTTAAGGGCTCCGGGGTGATAGTACAGGGACCCAATTACACACATGGTCGCCAAGATTCCCTAAGCCCGACACCCTAGTATACAACCCCTGTGGGCACCTTTCCGACGACCTGAGCCTTTTGGAATTTCAGGTTTTCACAGTTTAAGATTGGGCCTCAAGTTTACATACCGGCAGGTATATATAGGAATATGCTAGCTGTAACAGCAGCGGTGTAGCAGCTTAAATGTAGTGGTGGCATTACAGGCATTGATTCGAATAATATATATATCGACCCAAGGATAAGCATCCACCCCAGAGGCTCAAAAACCCGGAAGCCCAAGCGTAGTCCCCAGAATGCTGGGGCATTCATCCCAGAGAATAATGCCCCATGATCCCATGCTATAGAAGATAACCGAGCACTTCCAAAGCAGCACCCCAAACCCGTTCGCCCAAACCCGTGAAGGCAGGAGACTCGCTAAAATCGAATCGATCAATCATGGCAGCTTGACCCTTAACCTTGAGGATGCCCCGTCGGAGCTGCAGTCGATTGCCAGAAAGACCTGCGAGGCGTCGTTTGTAAGATCACACAATGTGGGCAAAGCGGGCTGTTGAAAGGTATCGGGGGTGGCAGGCTAGGACTTGGGGTTCGAGGATTTGGGGGTTGCTTGAGATTGAGGTTATCGTGTTGCAGAAGGCGTGTGCTTCTAAAGTATAATAGGAAGTGCAAGTAACCAAGCATATGCGCATCTTCCACACACGCTCGCATGTGTACGTATACATACACAACCACATGATGCACAGGACTGCTCGGACCCTCTGGCAAACTTGAATCATTTCGCTCGAAGGTGCTCTAAGCTTTCGAAGCGGTGGGCTTTGCTCACCCAGAACCCCTTTGGAAATTTGCAGGATCTCCCGCAATAAGATTAAGGCACATGACACAAATTGTGTCACCAGCCAGCTTTCCCCAGCAGCAGCTTGAAACTGCCATGCCTTGCATGGCATGCGTCATGTGTGTTGCAAATTATGTCATCCTGCATATATGATTATCACACTGCTGCTGCTTCCCATCTGCCTTGCCGTTGCATTGCACCAAAATTATGAACACATCAGCTGGATCCTATGTGCGAAATGGCGCACATGATTCAATGCTCCGCACCAATCCAGCTTTCAGCTCGCACCCCGAGTCGAGAGATCACTCATCATTCTCGCCAGTGAAGGTCCGCACCGCGCTGGTGTGAGCCTGCATCAGCATGTCCTTCAGCTCGTTGACTTTGCGATCCCTCTGGTTATCCCTCTGGACAGTGTACCACCACTCTGCATTGCCCTCGGTTCGACATGTTGTTTAAATATTATATTATAAGCCCATAACAAAAAACATTAAATATTATCGCATGACAAACCCAAACACTTTCGAAACAAAACCTGGGCACAAGCTGGGAAGCTACATAGATCTGTGTGCAGATGCAAGGTGACTTCCAAGACACAAAATGCAACTGGGGCGTCTTGACGACACAACCTTCGAATCTCTCAACCTTGACCCCAACGGCGGGCTTCTTCCAATAAACGCTCAATCGAACAGGAGCTTTGAGAGGAAACTGAGGGGATGTGTTCGGTGTGTGGCCCCCCGCCCTTGTGCACTCATGCATAATCTCCAACAGCTTCCCGGCCGCTGCTTCCATGGAGTTGACGGGGCTATCGAGCTTGAGGTTGGACTGGAAGTCTTCCGGTCCGAAGCCGGAAGCAAACCTCGGCACCTTCCCGCCCCTCCCTAAGCCTTTGGGCGCCGTCACACTTGGCTCCTCAATCTCACGAGTGGGAGGCGCAGCTCTGCGCTTCGGGGCCGGATCCTCAATCTCACGGGTGGGAGGCGCAGCTCTGCGCTTCGGGGCCGGATCCTCAATCTCACGGGTGGGCGGCAAGGCTTTGCGCTTCGGGGCCCTCTTCTTTGGCTGCGGATCCTCAATCATCTCACGGGTGGGTGGCAAGGCTTTGCGCTTCGGGGCCCTCTTTGGCTGCGGATCCTCAATCTCCGGGGTGGGCGGCAAGGCTTTGCGCTTCGGGGCCTTCTTTGGCTTGGGCATGGAGCTGGAAGAAGGCTCTGAAGGCATCGCGTCTTCCACGGCACCAGCACCGAGCTCGTCGCCTTCATCCTCAAAGGCCTGATTGGACTTGGCGTTCATACGCTTGAGCTTGCCAAGCTTCTTGCTCGACTTTGTCCGAGAGAGCTTTGCAGGCTTGGAGCTTTCACCTTTGCCCTTCTTTGCACCCTTACCCTTGCCCTTGCCCTTGTCCTTTTTGGGACGCATCGCAAGCTGATCCCGCCTCGTCACATAGCCATCCGGGACTTCGGGGAAAAGGTTAACGGCTACACAGGAAGAAACCTCCGTGTCTGGCTCACCCCCTGATGTCATGGAACCAGAGGGGGTCCCATTGGGGGTCGGAGTGACGGTCGGCTCGGTGTCCGTGGTTCCAAGTGCCTCGGTGGCTTCGGGGTTCGTGACGGTTCCATCGGTGATCGCGGTTCCAAGTGCCTCGGGCTCTGGGTCCGTGACGGTTGCAAGTGCCTCGGTGTCCGGCTCGTCGATCTGTGTCTCATCCGTGTCCATTGTGTACTGGAAAGGTCGTACTGGGGACTCGTCCACAAAGGTTACCTTCGGGCCCTTGTGTGGTCGAGAGAGCAGGCCCTCGACTCGTTTCTTGCATGCATGGAACTTGAAGTGCCTTTTCAGCTGCCTCATCCTGATATGTTTTCTCGGAACGATCCCTTAAATTATCACACGGAATAGAGACAGAAATGAAATCATGCTAATGTTCCGGAGCCTTGCCGAATGAAGCTGCTTTGACGTTGTGTCCAAACGCCTCTGCAATTCCTCGAGGGGAAGATCTTCCAGCGAGGGCCTCGCGGGTGTGTCACCCACCACCATCACTTCATCATCCTCGGAAGCCTCATCCCGAGAGGCTTCCGCTTGCGACTCGTCCATGGCACCACTGTCGAGAGACATGGCTGCCACACCACCAAGCACCTCATCATCAGTAGTCACAGGTGTCGCGGTCTCAGGCTCGGCCGTGGTGTCTGAGGAGAACGAGTTTGCACGTGAATCAGAAGATAGCGTGCTGTCAGCATCATCGTCTGCTGCACCCATGGCTTTCACCTTTGTCCGGATCTCCACCCAGGTTTGCACCAGCTCCTGCTATACTCGAAATGTTTTGGAAAGAATCATGTCCAGTTACAAAGCTTCCCCCTCACCACCCCCGACACTCTCACACTCGTATTGCACCCCCCCCACACTCACACACACACACACAAACAATATATGTATATGCTGTGCAGTATAACCTTTAGACTGTATAAATGCAAGCGACAGGACGATGCATCAGCACAGCTATTAGTATGCAAGCCAAAACACTAAAATGGCACTGGAGTATGTAGCCTGGAATACAAACACCGACACAATAACTTGATATATAGCCTGCATTGAGCTGGCGGCGAAACAGCAGAAAGCATGCGTAATCGACCGGCGTACTTGCATGAGCACATTTGATTAAATCTCTCAACCGTGAACCCAATCCCAGAAACGGAGCAGAACATGCAAGAACAACGGCAGCCTCAACGCTGCAGGCCATCAGAACGGCGAGGAGGTCCAAGAGAATCTGATCCTGACGGGCTGCCGTGATTGCCGGGTTTAGGGTAATTATAAGTGTAGCATAGGCCGGGTATATATAATAGTAGATCAGTCCTTCGGAGGGGTCTTCTTGTAGAGCCTGGCTTTAACCAATTGGCATAGCTTTCGCACGCCCCAGCTCTCTTGATAGATTTTCGAAGAGATCAGCTCCAGCTTGTTCTTTTTGTAAACACCCTCAACCGCAGCCATAACCATGTCAATACACGGAAGTGCAATAGATGACTCGGCCATGTGTTGCAGCATAACCGTGAGGACACGAATATTCAACCGAACGTTGGCAACACTTCTAGGGATCACTTCCGAGGGACCCGGGACGACGGTGGAACCATCTTCACCAATTGCCAAAAGTAGCCTTCCTGAGTTCCGAAGACGCTCCCGGGTATCGTCGTCCTTATCCCACATCTGAGTGATGTGGACTGCCATGGCCCACACACACACACGCACACAAACACTGTGGGGAGACTTGAGGTGCGAGCTCGATACATGCATGCAATCATTTTGGAGCACAGCTGTGAACATGCTGGCAGCACGAATGCACATGACCGATCCTGCAGTATACAGCATATTATGATCACGGAGGGGAGGGCGCACCTTGATATCTGACTGCACGCTTGCAGTCACGCACCATGCTGCCCACAGCCAGCGCAAGCCAGACCAAGTGCCAGCAATAGATCCGCTTCATGACATCATGGCGGGAGCTTGAATAAACTCACGGTTCGTCTAGCACAATGAGAATGCGTACATGCATCCAGCAGTCACTAGAGACGTGGGTCTTCTAAACCCGGCCTTAGAGTTAGACGCTCGAGATATACTGTCACAAAGCTCGTATCCTGTGGAAAAAGAGTGGCCGAGTGATGCCTGATAGCATCGTGAACGGTACCTTTCATCACTTAAGATAATATCGAATAATGAGTCTCTATCCTTTGCTCTTCGGTCTCTGTCGGAAGATGCTACTTTCGGGTTTGATCTGCCGGTTCACAATAGGTATATCCGACAGTAATGACTGAAAAAGTCTGCAAAGGCTCTTGAAGCTTCGGTGCCTAGCTTAACGGTTCGTCACCACATGCTCCGATCGACAATGACCCTGGCGAGAAGGAGCATTTCGGGTTGCATTTGCAGCCCCTATACTACCCCATACCAATATATAACCTGCATAACTATACCCATATATTCCTTGTTTACACACTACGTTTCCCGCAATTCCTATAAATATAAATCCTGTATTAATTTATATATGTTGCCCTTTTATCCTATTCCCCATCTTGTTCTCGATTTAAGACCTGCCTGAAACCACAAAACCCCCTTCTTGTTCTCGATCCAAGACCTGCCTGAAACTACAAATCCCCATCTTGCTCTCGATTTAAGACCTGCCTGAAACCACAACATCCCCATCTCGTTCTCGATTTATAAGACCACCTGAAACCGCATAATCCCAAACTTGTTCTCGATTTCAGACCTACCTGAAACCACGTAATCCCCATCTTGTTCTTGATTTAAGACCTGCCTGGCATTGTCCATGCCGGACCCACACGAATCGCCGAACGGGCATTTCAACACCGGACTTAAAATTCCCACGACTCGGGTTGAATTACTACAATCTAGTGGGCGTTACAAGTTTCCGGAGCCGAAGCAGGGCGGCAGGTAGGGTACTATACTGGGATCCCCCATTTTCGGAAACTCCCATAAAGCCCCCGATATTTCGTGCCAGGCCAGGACACCGACGCCACAACCGTCGCCAGCCGTATCGGTCCTTCCCTCAGTGCTCCTTTAGTCAGGCCAAGGGTTTTTGCATGAGGTGCCTTTCCAGGTTCCGTAAGGCCAACTCGCACAGATTATAGGCGTTGTATTTCATTCCTAAAGAGCAGTCACGAGGTCCTACCAACTGCAACTGCGGCAGCTTTCCTGGTGGCTGCGGGGCTGCGCAAGGACCGAACCCCTGGACTATAGGTGTCGGAATACTTCGAATCGAGATGTGTGGGTATATGAATGCTGCGATTATGTTGGTAATTATGTACCTATGGTAGTAGAGTAGGCAACCTTTAACCTTTTTTGGGTAGTATAGTCTCTATATAATGCCTATATAACGAAAATAGTTAACCTTTAGTCCCCCATGATACCCGACAAGTAAGTTTAGGAAAAGAGAATTACCCATGTTGCACTGGCCGGAAATCGCCAGGAGAAGCCCCGTGGACGCCGTGCACGAGTGGCTCCCTGACTCCGTTGTTTAGAGACCCAACACAAAGGACTTTAATCGGGATCTCCCTACCTTATTGGACTTCAGTTTCAGGGGGGTTACATGGGATATCCCCATCCCAAAAGTTGCACTTATGTGTTTTTTTGGGGCTGTGGCTCAAGTTGTTTCTATCTTGAGACTCCGAGATCCTAGTCCCCTCATTGACCTTCCGGGGCATGGAAAGTCCAATCCTCACCCCAAAATACTAAGTATACTATCATAGAAAATACGAAACTTAATATGCAAAAACACTTATTGTAACATACTATAAGATTCTATAACACACAATAATAATGTAGTATGTAAAAAGATACAATAGAAGAGTATAACATACTAAAAGATACTCCCGTCAGATCCCGAACACTTCACTCCCTCGATCCCACACCTCCTTGTTTGTTTTGGTGGTTTTAGGGCCTGCGATGAATTTTGGGTTCAGGCTTCTGTGTCGAGTCACTCGGAATACATGAGCTTTGTAGTCTCAGGCTTGGGTTCTGGATTTGAAAAGGGCGGTTGCCAGAACCGTGCATGTATGAAGCCACTCAAGCCGAAGCCCTGCCCCAAACCCCTAAACTCTAAACCCTCTGAATAGTTGCCTAACTGGCCCTGGCTACAGAGGACCCCCGAGACCTGCGTTGTGTAAGTTGCAACGGCATCTCTGAGTTGTAACGGCATCTCTGAGTGGGTTCCTCACGTATTTTGTGCTACCAGCAATAAACCAGCCCCCTAGTGCTCATGACTAAAACCGTTCTACCCGATTCTACCCATGTCGACCCCGTCTAGAACAATTTCAAGAACTTCCTTGAGACCTGAAGACAAAACTGAAGGTTCGTCAGTTGGGACCGAGGGCGGCAACAGAGCTGCTCGAGGCAGCTGACCGAGCAAAAGGGTAGTTAATGTAGGAACCTAGTCACGAAACCCTGGGTCTATAACCCCGAAGTAGTAGGGTTCACATAATATTTAAGAAACCCTAGCAAAGGCCCAAGGTTTCTCAAACCAGGTTCCTACATTATGCAGTCAGTGGGTCTGGGTTTAGGGATGGGATTTGGGGTCTACTTGGTGGGGCAGGGGACTTAGTAAGTAGGTTATAAGTAGGGTTATAATTGGGGTAACTCCATTTAGGGCACTTGTAACTCTACTTATAACCTATAACCTACTTACAAAGTCCCCTGTCCCTCCAAGTAGGGTTTCAGAGTGTCAGGGTTTGGAAGTTCTAAGGCCCGGGGTGTAAGGCGGCAGGTCGGGTGGTAGTGCCGTCGTTCAAGCTATGCGTCGTGGCGCGTTAGAGGGTTTATTTGTGGTTTCATGAGTCCCGAGCCGAAACCTAGACCCTGAAGCCTAGATCTCAATCTCCAAATCGGTAGTTCTCCAAATTAGGGTCCCTTTCAGGGTCCTTCTTTACAACGGTGCCTTACCATTGTCGGGACCGAACAGGGCTACTTAAATCCTAAGCTCTAGGATTCGGACCGGGCAAAGGGTCTTGAAGCAAAAGGGCTTGGCATGAAGGCTCCAGGAGCTACGGGCGTCAGCATAGTAGTACCTATGCTATCAATATTGTCCTTTCTCACAGTCATTCAATCCAGACCGGACTAAGCCCAGCCCCTGTCCCCCAGCAGTACCGTAGATCAAATCCAAATCCTCAACCTTAAAACCCCAACACACGAAAGCCTTGCATAGACCCAAAATATCCTTGATCAGTTCACCCTCAATAGCCAGAACCAGGGAGCACATGGGATATCTATTTGTTAAGGGCATGTTGTGGGGTCCAGATAACCTCCCAATCCTGCCCCCTTGCCTTGCAGCCTTGCAGCCGCAGCAAAACGGATCCTAAACCCTAAACCCCCAAACCCCACAAGCCCCGAATGCTAAACCCAAAAAACCCAAACCCCTCAACCCCACGAGCCCTAAACCCTAAACCCTAAGAGCCCTAAGCCCTAAACCCTAACTGAACCCTATGAACCCTAAACCCTCAAAGGCTCGACCAAAGACGGAGCCTGAGGCCCACCGAGACGAAGGCCGTTTGGTCGAAGCTTCTTTGTTTCGGCCGCTACCCGGAGACTCCAATATCCCTTAAATAGGGACGATGCATCAAATCGTATCAAGGATCATGCTATGATTTAAGATAGTTCAGGAATATGCCTTCAATCATACTAGGCATCCTACCATGATTTAAGGTTTATGGGTCCCTATTAAGGGACCCTTCCTTTTCCCCTTTGATTCATTGTAGACCTAAACCCTAAACCCTAAACCCAAAACCCCTAAACTCTAAACCCCTAAACCCTAAACCCCTAAACTCTAAACCCCTAAACCCTAAACCCTACTATTATTAACCCACAACCAGAGTTTCAGTCCGAAGGCCCCTAGGCTGCCCTGTACTTGGAGGATCATGGGACTTAGTATGTAGGCTTCCTTAAAAGGGATCTATAGGGGGTACCATAAGGGTTTAGGGTTTAAGGATCATGGGACTTAGTAAGTAGGGTTTAAAGTACTTTAAGTTTAAGGTTATATGTACTTATCACTGCAGTTACCTTACTTATAACCCCAATTACTAAGTCCCATGACCCTTTAAGTATTGGCGCTTCGCACATCAAGTGGACTTGTGCAAAGGCCTGCGCACTGCGAAGCCGTGGGAGCTGCTGTCGGGCATTGCCAAGGATCATGATTATAGCGGTTTAGGGTTGATGGCTTACTTAAAGGACCAGGGGACTTAGTAATTGAGAATATAAGTAAGGTAACTACAGCTATAACGACTTACAACCCCAATTAAAGTACTCATAACCCTACTTAGTAAGCCCCATGATCCTCCAAGAAACCTCCACTGTGATCGTCATTTTCAGATATGAGGTGCTGTCGCTGCTAATGCCGATGATGATGGTCACCATCACAGTAGAGTTTCCGTTCAGTGTTGTCTTTTCGTTGCTATATAATTGCAGTATACTCTGAACTGCAGTCATATCGGTTTCCGTGACGGTGCTTGTAGGCCTAGTAGCGCCGTTTCGATTCAAGGTGCACGATTTGTCACTAAACCAGTGGCATATTCAACTCCTATTTTAAGAAGTTTACACTGTGTGTGCGCCTATAGGGACCTGCAGAAAAAGGGATCGAACAAGACCGAAAAATCCGCGAGCCCATAACATTCCAGGTCATTTTGCGAGGTGATGGTATTGCGACTGCTTCTTTTAGAATCTCTTAACGGAGGGGCCTCAGAGCCACTACGAGTACCTGAGGTGTTTCTACAGCTGGAAAGCTATATACATAGCGAATGTCACGGTACTTGAAATGGTTCAGCCCAGAGAACCCAATACCCCTTAATTAAGGAATATACCTTAAGCTATAGGGGCCTTAACATTATGATTTAAGGTATATATGTATATATATATATATATATACACCTTAATTGAGGGATATTGGGCTCTCTGGGAGGACCTTGCATAAGCGTACAGCAACAGTCTTCGCGTGTAGGAGTGCCACGCTGGACGAAGCTGTCCGTTGCCATGCAACACGCACCAGGGAACTGTGTCCTAGTAGCTGAGTGGATACACTTTCCACTTTTTGGGATAATCGTACCCACTGTAAAACTGAGAGTGTCAACTTTTCAGGGCTTAGGAACTCAGCAACTAAGATGAATCCACTGAGAAGAAGTGACAGGCTAGCTTTCGTACTAAACCCTATAAATACTGAAGCCAGCACCACCCTAAATCCAGCCCTTTCGACCGAAGCCCTAAACCAAAACCCTACACCCTAAACCCAAACCCCCAAAACCTCTAAACCCTAAATCTTTAAACCCCTAGACCCTAAACCCCTAAACTCTAAGCCTCTAAACCGCTGAACCCCCAATTCTGAATCTGAGAGGATGCAGCCCGCACCTGGTTCGTGCAGCGCGCAGAGGATCGTGGCATTCCATGGAGGCGGTTTGGGGTTCAGGGTTTAAGGTTGTTTAGCGTTTGTTTTTGGGAAAATATGCTGTCTCACCAGACTAGAGGCTTTTTCGGGTTCTATGTATATATATATATATATATGTGTGTGTGTGTGTAGACACATACATATGTACATGACCTGCAAGGCCTCGAAACTTAGAGCCCCTGCTGTGTATCTTACGTTCAGAGCTTTGTTCACCACGGGTCTACATCAACCTCATACTTATAGAAACCTGCAAACTTCAAGGTATACTGTCCAGTTTGGTTCTTTGCTATTGGTTGCTATGCCATGGTGGTATACCCCAAAAGCCTCTTGCAATCATTGAGGCGCCTACATATCACCCTTTTCGTTCGGGGGTCTCTAACTATTTACGATTGGATACCGGCGAAAATTTATTTGTTTTGACGGGTGTTTGTAAAGGCAGCAAGTTTGTACGAAATGCTTGCAGAGTAATTACGAGGTGCTCGAACTGCTCCCTCTGCGGAATTCTCACGACACCATACATGAAAAACACAACATCCTGACCCTACGCCCGATCTTCATCATGCCTTTGCAAACACAATGTAGACTTGAGCTGCAAACACCGCGCAGACCAGAGAACTACCCACTATACGCTGAAAACCCATCTGAAGCCCAAAACAGAACAAGCAAGCCCTTCGAGCCAGAAGCTCTGAACTCTATATTCCTTGCTCCGAACCCTAAAATCGTGCTCGATGTTGAAGGGGGCAAACTGAAGGCCGTCGTGGTTGCAGGCTCCCGGTGTAGAGCTTGAACTTTCGGTTTAGTTTATCAACTTCAGTTCGAAAAAAAGCAGAATAGGGTCTAGGGGTTGCAATCCTTGGACTTCGATCCCCTTTCGCTTGGCTTTAGGGTTTAGGGTTTAGGGGTTCAGGGGTTTAGGCTTTAGGGGTTTAGGGGTCAGGGTTTAGGGTTTAGGGTTTAGGGCTTAGGGTTTAGGGTTTAGGGTTTAGGATTACATACGGCTGCTCGCCTGACGGGTTTCTCGTCCTGCGCAGGTTCAGCGTTGAGCGCATGCAGGCCCAGCAAGAGCAACTGGAGGCAGTGGTGATCAACCCTAAACCCTAAACCCTAAACCTCAGTTGCCTTGATTCTATGAGCAAGGCCACGGTTTGGGGCTCTTTCTTGCATTACTATATTCTACTCCGGAATTCCATTCTTGTTCTTAAGGCCCTTGCACTAAGCTTCCGGAGCCATTCCCCTTTTTGGGGTACCCTAAATATTAGGTGCCGTATCATAATAAGGACCCCAAAAAGGGACCCTTATAATGTTCGCAGCTTGGGAGGCCGCGCTCGGGGAGCTCGTAGGCTTCGGTTTGTCCGTGGCAGGCAACGTACCAGCAGATCTGCAATGAGCCAGGAACCCATTCATTCGGGCTTAGAGTGTTGAGTTGAGAGTTTAGGGAATAGGGTTTAGGGTTTAGGGTTCAGGGTTCAGGGTTTTAGGGTTCAGGGTTTTAGGGTTCAGGGTTTATGGTCAGAAGTTAGGGGGAGTTCAAGTGTCGAAGACTCCGAAGGCTGGAACCTAGCCGAATTCGCTGGTTCGGCTCTCTTGGGTGTATCCAAGTGGGTGGTTGTCAAAATGAGGGCCCCGTTTTGGGTACACTAAAATGTTAGGTGCCGTATTATAGACATTAGGTGCCGCATTATAATAAGGACCCAAAAAGGGACCCTAATTTTGACAACCACCCAAGTATGTCTTTACCCAAACAGTGTTAGGACCATGGGCACCTTACGTGCACTGTACAGGCACTTGGTACTGTTCCCGCTTGGTGCACCCGGGCGACTGTTCCCAGTATTTAGGGACGCAAAAAGCACATAAGCATAAGCATTTGATGGGGATATCCCTACCTTATTGGGCTTCATCATAAGGGGGTTTATATGGGATATCCCTATCCTAATTTTTGCTTATGTGCTTTTTTGGGGCCCTAAGTATGCCCGAAACAGACGTCGCCGCAAGTAGCATCCAGCGAGGTCCGCCAATCCTCAGCGCTCCTGACAAGACAGTGCATGAAGCCCAACTGGTAAAACAGAGTCTACCCGGTGCAGTTCAAGATGATACAAGATCTCACACTGACCAAGATCAAACTCGACCAAAATGTGAAGATGAACGAGAATATGGGTGGCCTGACAGGCTACAAACTGGTGTTCGTCACTGCGCGAGTCGCCAAAGACTTGAAAGATGCACAGCAGCCCAGAAGTCAAATGGACGTGTACAACCACCTGATGAAGTATGAAGGTTCAGTGGTGTGATGCCGACAGGCCCAAAAAGGGCGCTGTCCAAATGCACTTGAAGATCTACTCGGGCTGTCTGCCAAAATCCTGAGGTTTCTGGAGGCCCTTGAGAGCCACTTTGGGCGGGAACATGGGCTGAACAGCCTCAGCAATTTGGACATGGTCTGTCAGAAGACGGCATGCAAGGATGCCTCGGCAGCTACGAGGCATGTTCGTGTCATTCTTTGTTAGTTGACGTTGGCTTGGTAAGGCCCCATAGTAGTTCCTTTTGGGGGTTCATATTAAGAATCCTATAAGGTAATCCCAAAAAGGAACTACTTTGGGGCCTATGGGTACGGGCCTTCATGGGGCCCCGGCACCTCGGCCTCTGACTCCTCCAATGTTGCAAATTCCAGTGGATCCGGAAGTCCGTATGATCGGCACTGTTTCCGCCCAAATAGATATTATTCTTATCATTATTAGTATTATTAGTGTTATTATTATTAATATAATTATTAATATTATGGTGCTTGTCATGGTTTTGATGACAAGCTCGCTCTGAATTCAGTACTGAGCCCTTCCCTTACACTGCGCAAAGCTAAGCCCTGCCGATGTGCTGTGAACATTGTTTGTAAATTTGTCGTAAGTGACTTACCGGAAGTGTGTTGGAGTTGAGGGTTTAAGGTTCACGGTTGAGAGCTTAGGGTGAAACAAATGCCCTGTGTGTTGTGTTATGTTTAGTGTTGGTGCGATTCTGGTTGATGCTTTGTGGCCATGATTTTTCCGGATAAGGTCTATCGAGTATCCGGACTATTACCAGAAGGCTTTCCACGGCTACGACGGAGGCAGGCAGAGTCATTGTTAATTCATGTGTGTATGTATGTATGTACCTATGTATGTATGTATGTATGTATGTATGTATGTATGTATGTATGTATGTGTATGATTATGTATGTATGTGTATGATTATGTATGTATGTATGTATGTAGGTAGGTATGTATACAGAGAATGTGCACATAGGTCTATAACACGTATATATATATATATATATATATATGTATATCTATATATAGATACCCCTAATATTTCTATCGTTGTATTGAGTACCATGTGTTCTTACCCCCATTTACATTACTTGGAAGGGCAGGGGACTTAGTAAGTAGGTTATAATTAGGGTTATAATTGGGGTAACTCCATTTAGGGTACTTATATCTCTACTTATGACCTACTTACTAAGTCCCCTGCCCCTCCAAGTAGACCCTAAATCCCAAACCCCATAGATCCCTTTAAGGAACCCTATAGATCCCTTTAAGGAGCCCTTATTAAGAGCCCCTACTAAGTCCCCTGCCCCTCCAAGTAGTTGGTATTTGACACTTTCAAGTACTAGGACCCGGAGTAGGCCCTTATTCCCTTTTTTAGGGTTTAGGTTCCCTCATAACCCCCTTTAAACCAAAAAGGGCACCCTTTTTATTCCTAGGTTACTCTTAGGTCTAGAGTATGACCATGACAGCTCCTGCCATGGGTTTCTCGGCAGAATCCGAACCCTAAAAACCCTAAAGCCTAAACCCCTGAACCCCTAAACCCCTAAACTGAATCCCCTTGGCTGCCGTTTTTGGGGCGTTAGTGCTCGTTTTTGTGCAGGTTCGAGATTTCAGGCGAAAACCTCACCAGTCTGAGCCCCTTCAGCAGCTACTTAAAGGATCATGGGACTGAGTAATTGGGGTTGCAAGTAAGGTAATTACAGTTACAATTAGCTATATCCCCAATTAAGGTACTTACTAAGTCCGATGATCCTTCAAGTAGACTCCAACCGTCGGAGGGTAGACTAGGTTCGAAGGTTCACGATATGCCTCAGTCTCGTTTGGCTTTTCCGTGTCAAAAAAAAAGATAGTTTCCAACTCGAAGGCTCAGAACAGCTTGTGCTTTCTGTCTAAGGTACAAAGGCATCGTCCGGGTCGAGGGTTTACGACCAGGTGATGAAATTTCAACTGGATCCTTCAGCCTATCCCGTTGATCCCATCCGAGCCCGGAACCCCCAGACGCTGCCCGTAGGTCCATTGCCGCTTGAATGCTTGCAGCCCTAAACCCTAAACCCTAAAAGCCCTAAGACCCTAAAAGGCAACCTCAACTGGGCTGCCGCGCATGAGCTGGAAGCTGCCACCAAGTCCATGTGTTCCTCGGAATATACGGGAGTTTCCGAAAATTCGGGGTACCTTATTTTGGTTCCTTATAATAAGGATCCTACTATAACGGGTACTATCTTAGGGTCCCCTGTTTTCGGAAACTCCCATATACCAAAGATGGACGTATGGTCGGATCTAGAGCTTTTTGTGTTCGACGGTGCATGTATCTGTATGTGTGTGTGTACTTACACACACATGCGTGTGTATATATATATATATATATATACATATGTATAAGTATGGATAAAATGTGTACATAACTATACATACATATATATATATATATATACATATACAGACAGACATACTACATACATACATACCTACATACATACATACATACATACATATGTAGCGATGGGTTTAGACGCAGATGTAGATATAGACGCAAATACAGATATAGATACAGCTACTATATGAGCCCTCAAATTCTGAGGCTCAATAATATGTAGATATAGACTTAGATAAGTATGAAACAGATGCGGATATAGCTATGCTTGTGTGTAATTGTGCAGTTATTTATGCACCAGTAGTGTCCTTTGTCCTTTTCGGGCGGGCCGTGGTTTATACGGCCTCTCAGGTGTTGGCTGGACACTTCTCACGGGGTTAGAGATTTGAGTTGTTGCTTAAGATCCTTTTATATTCAAGCTTGTTGTGCCGACATGGGATGGAGTTTCGGTAGCCATGCAAGTGGAGGTTCATGAGACCGGATTGTTGGCACAGTCAGCTATATAGATCCTGTTAGGGTTGAGACACTGACACACCCAGCTCGAGCCCCAGCTGCAGCTATGTGTGAGCTGCATCATGGTGTGATGCGTAACATGGTTCAGGACGCCCCACATAGCATGCTCCGTTGTGATGCCAATAGTTCCTTATAATCTGGAACGTGCTCGTTACAATCCGATTCTGCATTCCTCGAAGCATAAGTTCTCCACGACACCGAACCTTTTTTCCGAACCCGAGACCTCCACGTCAAATGCTCTCAGGACAAACCGCACTAGCCTAGTAGCTTGAGGGGTTAAGGGGTGTAGAGGTTAAGGGACTTGGTGTTTTAGGTTCGGGTCCAGATGCATCTCAGAGTTTGCGCAGGGTGCTGCATGCGCAAGTCTGAGGCTTGGGCTATTACGATGGATTAAGCTGGCTGCTCGGCCCCAGACTACTGGCGTTTGGGCCTGCAGACTGTCGGGCTTGTATGTTTTTTTTGAGGGGTTATAAGTTGATGCATTGCATAGTGAGATGGATATAGAATGCCATAGCCTGATGTTCTATCAGGCGTGCCTACAATTTCAATGCACTCTTCTTTGGTTACCTGTTTTGCTTGTCTTTTTGGCTAGGCTTCCAAGCATAAACTGTTCGTGGCGAACCAACTCGTGTCTTCTTGTTTCACGTCCCTGTGTGTGTGCTCGCTCCTCGTTGCACACAACTTGTTGCTGGGTTCCTTGCTTTGTGAACCCTTATATCCCTGTAGAACCCCTCTAGTACGAACTTGTGACAGCTCTGCACCCCGAGCCCACCCATGAAGCATCTTCGACGGGGCATCTCTCGAGTAACTTTTTGACTTAAACTGATGGTTCCCAAGAAGCCTGCTGCACTGAAGACCTTAGAGTGCAAGTACCTCTGAACAGCGGGAATCCGATAGTAGAGTCCTTCTATATCCTTACCATGCGTAGGGTGCCGGGCATTTGTCTATCAGGAGCCATTACGGCGCTTCCTCAACTCAGTTGATGCCCAGGCAAGAGGCTCAAGAAATCTTCCGTGGCTCTGCACGGCGGTCCATCGCGGAGTACTGGCAGCTAGGAGCCTTCCGCGCCAATCGCGGAACATGGCTTAGCGTGTACTTCGAGGTTCATGGGTGTTATAAGTGGAGTTATAAGTCCCTAAATATGGGTTATATCTATAGTTACCCTACCTATACGCCCACTTATAACTACCCACGAACCTCCAAGTAGGGTTGTCGTTCAGGGCAGGGTTTCGAGACTGTCAGTTTTTGGACCCTTGGCATTCGGCTTCCTGAAGAAGCCCAAAGCCTCAGTGCTGAAGAAGCCGTTGGGTGAGGTTCAGTGGGTCAAAGCAGGTAGGTAGCGAAAATCCTGAACCTTTCAACAGCACTTCGAGCTGTTTGGTTTAAAGTCTCTGAAACCAGAAGCTTCCCGAAACCCTAAACCCTCAACCCTAAACCCTAGTCCTAAACTTCCGTGCAATCGTCGATGGAGGAGAGCGCGGCGATGAGTCACCGCAGGCCGCACATCTTCACCTCTGGGGTGGGTGTGCTTGGGGGCTACGGTTTATGGGAAGAAGTCATGCAATCAGTAACATGCAGAACTCATACACAGAACCTAATGTGATGAAGGTTGTACTTAATTGGCCTTGTGCGAGGTCGTTGGTCGGTGGATACTGTTATATATGTACACCTATACCTATACCTATACCTATATATTAATATATATATATATATATATACATATATATATATATATACATGTATCATGCCATACAGCATGCTGTCCATAGCAGAGCCATTCAGGGTCGCTGCCGTGATTGACACTAGAGCATCTCATCGGCCCCTTTTAGAACCCTCATTGAGCCCTTATACTTGGAAGGGCAGGGGACTTAGTACGTAGGTTATAAGTAGAGTTATAAGTACCCGAAATGGAGTTACCCCAATTATAACCCTACTGAAAACCTACTTACTAAGTCCCTGCCCTTCCAAGTAACCCTTATCGAATCCTTGATGCAAAAAGGCGTTGCTGGACGTGGGATGCTCGGGCGGTTTCTCGACGAAGGCACGGCACAGATGCTCATTAGAGATGCGACACCCAGCTATTCAGGGCTATGAACATCTTACCGGGGCATTGAAGGGGCGAGAGAGTCTTGGGTCGAGGATGCTGCAGCGGAAGCGTCCGGAAGCACGAATGCAAGAGCTCAGAAAGCCCGAAAGCATGTCTTTCTGCATCCCCACCGGCTGAAGAAATCGATTTCCTTGGGAGGAGATGGCGATGGCGTTCCCCACTGCGTCTGCGGTGGGGCTCGATTTGAGCCCCTACTTCTTGCCGCTGGATTTCGTTCATATTAAGAACGGGACCCTGAGACTTTACGACTGACATGCTCCACTGCCGTGACTCGCAGTGTCTGAGGGTTAAGGTACCAGGGCACGTGTCGAACTTCGTTGGGCAATGATCAACTTACCCACAGGCCTCATAGTAGTTCCTTTTTGGGATGACATAGTAGGATTCTAAATATGAGCCCCCAAAATTGGGATTACATAATAGGATTCTAAATATAAGCCCCAAGCTGGAACTACTATGGTGCCGCTGGGTTATCCTTAAATCTAAACTCGATGTCGCCAGATAGGATCTTAAACCTCGAACTCGGGGTTGAGCTCCTACTGAATGGCTTAGGGTTTAGGGTTTGTAGGATTTAGGGTTTGGAGGGTTTAGGGTTTAGGTTTTGTAGGGTTTAGGGTTTGTAGGATTTAGGGTTTGGAGGGTTTAGGGTTTAGGTTTTGTAGGGTTTAGGGTTTGTAGGGTTTAGGGTTTAGGGATCCTCCAGACAGAACATGCCCAGCACACCCCAAGACAGGTGGCACCGAAGCCACGACATGTTTCATGTCCTCATGCAGCCTCTCGTTGCAAGACCTGCCCGGTTTTTCCACAACTTAGAAAGCCTGCAGACGCCGTTTCAACTTCCGAGGCAGGACGGCTACAGTCCATAGCTACGAACCAAGTGTTGAGCACCCCGAAGTCCGTAAGCCCTAAAACCATCTAAAACCCCAAAGCATCCAAAAGCCATGAAACTTGAAAGTCTCATCCCAGCGAAGTTTACACCAATTTCCTGGCCTCTAAAAGATCTCAGGTCTGTTGCGAAGCAGAGTTATCCGGAACTGGGCTTCGTGCACGCCAATGCTGAATGCACAGGACAGACGAGGTTTAGGCTTGTTGACTTCAGGGCATAAGGTCGGCTTAGAGGGAGGTCTGTCACGAGCTTTCGTGCTTGAGACAGTTCACGTTGCCCCTGCCTGCCTGCCCCAGACTGCAGTAGTTGAAGTAGGTTGAGTTGCACGCCGTCCCCCACGGTCACGTCGAAGAGGAGGGCAAGTGCGGCAAGCGGAACAATGCGGCAAGTGCCGGAAGTCGCCGGAAGTAAACCCAAAGGGTCCTAGGTACTGTTATGGGGAATAGATTCCCAAATCATAACAGTAAATCTTAATATAATATAGAAACCCTACTTTCTACTATATTGGTGCTTAGGACCCTTTGGTAAAGTGGGGCGAACGCCAAACCTGGCAAGAAACCAGTTCGTCGTCCAAGTCTGCACACGCACTGATTCCTTGTACTTCCGGGAGGGACATGGACATTGTTAGCTTTTCCGTCGCTTGGCGATCTATAGACAGTATCCACATTGGGCTGTGTTTTGGAAATCCTAGGATTGGCATGCAACACTGCCAAAGAACATCTCGCAAGCGTTCGCACCGATCAAGAAACCTCTGAAGCTTTGCCTACCCCCTTTCCTTGCCCCTTTTTTGAAGGCTTGCCGGATGCTTCATATGACGTGGTGACGCTGCGACTCGGCAGTAAGAGCTTATCTGACGGTGGATTTAGGATGCGGGTTTAGGGTTTAGGGTTCTTGCAAGGGCTTAAGGAGTCCATCTTAAGGCTTTATGGCTATAGTTATTTCGGAGTTGAGGATATATACTGTATAGGGCTTTAAGGTTTATTAGATGTGAACCTTGAGTTACGCTTTGGTGATGGAGGTGATAAAGGTGACGGGTTTGTGAACCTTGATCAATACACCTATACCGGTGTAGTTTAATTACAATAAAGGCTTGTTCTAAGTATTGAGGTTCCCATATTACCTCGGCTTAATGTGCAACTTGGAGGCTTTTGTGTTTAGGCACCTGCAACAATCAAGAACCCCCGCCCACACACGCGCGCGCGCACACACACACACACACACGCACCCAGACACACACACAGACACAGACACACACACACAAGCACATTTTGGTAGGTGCATTCCAGAAAACGTGAGACCCATAAACCCTCAGCTATATACCCTGGTTATAGGTGAGTCTCACCGTCGAAGAACCTTTCGTCCGGGACATTAGTTCGAGATGAAAGAAAACCGGATCCGTTTGAGGGACCACGCACGGGTATCCCGAAGCCCTGAACCCTTCACCAAATGGACCTATATGAGTTCCTTGAGGGCTCTTGTAGGGGTTCCTTTTAAAGGCTGCTTCAAGGGTTCCTTTAAGGGCTGCTTTAAGGATTTAGTACTTCCTAAACCCCAAAAGCCGAAGCCTAGCCCCAGGAATTTCTTACTGCACGAGCTGCCCTTGGAAGCGAGCAGGCAGTCTGGGTTTTGGGGTATTCCGGTTGAGGGCTAGGCTTTGGGTGCGGTTTTAGTTTTTGAGTTTTAGGAGTTTTAAGTTTTAGGGGTCAGGTTTTGCTCGACCCCCCCGACTACCCTCTGATACAAAGGGCCAGAAGGGCTCTTTTAAAGGGCCCTTGGGGGGTCCTGGTTGGGAGCGTTTCAAGCTTGGTCTGGCTTCTGAGTTCGGAGATGGCAGGAGACGCATCTGAGCGACGGTTTCTTGAGAGCTTCCCCAACGGGTCCAAGTACCATTACAGTAAGTAAATAGGTTACTTACGCCCTTTCAGTTCATGTGTGGATTTATAGGAATACGGCCAAGACCCTTAGCCCATGTTCGTACGCGTACACCTGAGCCAGTAAAAGGAAAGGCACACGGTGGTCCTCTAAGTCAAGATCTTTAGAAGCCGATTTTGAGGTCTGGGGTTCAGGATTCCGGGTTTCGGCCGCCTTAAACCCTAATGTAGGAACCTGATTAAGAAATCCTGGGCCTAGTACCTAGAACCCCAAAATAGTAGGATTCATACAAGGAACCCTAATCAAGACCCAAGCTGTCTTAATCAGGTTCCTACGGCTGATGATGTGAATCCTGCATTACCTTAAGAACCCTAACTATGGGAATTATGGTATATTCCTTATGATGGGTATTGCAGGATTTATATCATCAACCCTAAACCCTAAACCCCCTATAGATCCCTTAAAGGAACCCCTTAAAGGTACCCTCATAGATCCCTTTAAAGGGAACCCTAGGATTTATATCATCAACCGTATGCTAAACCCTCAACCGAGCCTTGAGAGCCACCTGAGACCCTAAATCCCCGCTGTCCGGAGACTAAAGCGGACCACCCAAGGTGTCCACCCTTTGGGCTCAAAAAAGGCCTTGAATATTGCCAATGATAAGAAAAAGGCTCACATGTATATGCGTGTATTGTATGTATGTATATATATATATATACACAATATACAATATAAATATCTATATATATATATATGTATGTACGCATAAACACACTTCCAAGGGCATAGGAGCCCATGAGGAACGGTGTATGGCTAAGAGCTGATGGTTGGGGATGGACGTGCCTTGATTCCTCCACTCCCTTAGTGCCTTTGTGTCCAGACGTGGCCCTCCCGACATCGGACGATCTAATGTAAGGAGCTGATCAAGAAACCTTGGGCCTTTATTCGGGTTCCTTATAATTGTATAAACCATACTATTTTGGGGATATAGGCCCGGGGATTCTTACTATATCAATCAACATGTTTCCTACTCGGAAACCTAGCCCAGAGTCCATATTGATATTCCTCACCCAACCCCTGCAAGGTAGTGTAGGTGTCGAAGAAGTAGCAGTATCCCAGCAGTATTCCAGTATCCCGTTTACGTCCTTACATACTTTATACAGCTAGTTTATTAGGGTTTCATTCAGCTAGTTTATTAGGGTTTAGGGTTTAGGGGTTTAGGGTAAAGGACCCTATATGGGGACTTTAGGGTCCGACGATCTAGTGAATAAATACACGACCCTCCCTCAGGAACGTCCTGAAGGAAGCCTATCGACTGTTGAAGCCCGGAGGGGACCCTCGGCGCACAGCGACGCATCGACCAGAAATCTTAGCTTCAGGGTTTATAGGACTTTTGGTTTAAAGGAATTTGGGGATCAAAGGCCGGACCATATATACATGGATTGTAGAATCCTTCTGGAGGTCTCTTGGGTGCAGGTGTCTTCCGAAGCGCCAAAGAAAGACAGAGAGAGAGAGAGAGAGGAATAGAGCGGGACAGAGAACCCTAGACCCTAAACCCTTATAAACCCTAAACCCTAAACTGTCTGGCAGAGGGGGAGAGCAAAAAAGCGCGAAGCTCAGAGGTTATAAGTAACTTAATTGGGGGGGGGGGGGTAGAAGTAGTTATAAGTATGGTTACCCTAATTATAACCCTAGCTACTAAGTCCCATGATCCTAAAGCAGAGGGTTCCTTTAAGGAGTATTTAGGGTTCCTTTAAGGGATCTCGAGGGTTCCTTTAAGGAAGATTTAGGGCTGCTGTAAGGGATCTCGAGGGTTCCTTTAAGGAAGATTTAGGGCTCCTTTAAGGGATCTAGAGGGCTCCTTTAAGGAATATTTAGGGTTCCTTTCAGGGATCTAGAGGGTTCCTTTAAGGAATAGTTGGGGATCCTTTAAGAGAGCGAAGATGAGGTCCTCGCCGTCTTGGACGTGGATGCCAAACGCCTGCAAGCGCTCCCTGCTTTTCGGCCCGGGGGGAGGGGCTGGGAAAGGGGTTTAGAGTTTAGGGTTTAGGGGGGTTTGGGGTTTAGGGTTTAGGGGGGTTTAGGGTTTAGGGTGGTTTATGGTTTAGGGGGGTTTAGAGTTTAGGGTTTCGGGGGGTTTAGGGTTTAGGGTGGCAGGATTGTGTACGGCCCTTGCACGGCCTAAAGGTTTCTACAAGGGTTGCATAAGGCGTTTTATCGAGATGTGCCATGGTTTTCTTTTCAGTGTTTATAAGAGGTTTAATACGGATTCTTCAAGGGTTTTCGTAAAGTAAGACTTTATGGATATCCGGGTTCTATAAGTGTTTTTAAGGCTGTACTAGAAGGGCTCTCTAAGCGTTTTCAAGGAGCTTGCAAAAGGGCTTCAAGTTTCTAGGTTTCCTGGCACCGCGGTCACCCAGAGCCTCCAAAACCCCCTTCATTAAGGAATATACCTTAAAATCATATTAGGGGTCCTATTATAATTTAAGGTATATATATATAAATAAATATATATATATATATATATATATATATATATATATTCCTTAATTAATGGGGGGTTTTGGAAGCTCTGGGCATGGTGGTAGGGTGTTCTGGGCGGGATTCCCAGTGCACTGTGACTGTTCCTCTCGAGCTCGAAGCTGAAAGTGTGTGGTAATTTAGGTCTGTTTTTTTGTTTTTTTTGGGTTTAGGGCTTAGGGTTTAGGGTTTAGGGTTTAGGGTTTAGGGTTTAGGGTTTAGGGCAGGGTTTAGGCTTAGGGTTTAGGGTTTAGGGTTATCTTGCAAGTCCGAAAGCAAAAAAAAACTCAGAATCCGAAACTTTCAAAGTGTCACTCAAGAGCCCTGAACCCAAGATTAAGCCCAAAGGTTGCACCCGCCCTTGGAAACTTCCCTGTCGCAACAGGACCGCTCAAACCCAAAATTTCCCTAAACTCTAGTGTAGCTTAGATTTTACTTTCACGTCAGGCGCTGGGCGTTTCAAGTCACGGAGCCTTGGTGCAAAGATGGCCGCACGATTGCATCTAACGACTGGGTTCAGCCCGCAGATAGGGACATAAGTCTGACTCCTCACAACCCTTATTATCAGAGGCTTAATGGAACTTGCAACAAGAATCAACGATTGAGGCCTTCCCTCCTTGTCGGGAGTTAGGTGATCCTACGAGTTTCCTGTGAGGCCTTGGAGCTTAGGGTCCAGGGTTTGCAGACTGAGGTTCTACTGTTGATGGTATACGTCCTGCATTAGCCATAATAATACCATTATTCCCATAGTTTAGGGTCCTTAAGGTCATGCAGGATATATACCATCAACCGTAGGGCGTGCGGTTTCCAAGGGTCCTTGTTCCCTTGCAGGGTATGCTTTGACCCGACAGGACCTACATAGGAGCCCCATTAAGGCCAGAGGCCCTAATGCTAATATGGGGGTTTCCGAAAAGTAGGGGTACCTTATTTTGGGTCCTTATAATAAGGATCCTACGATTAAAAGTACTATATTAGGGTCCCGTATTTTCGGAGACCCCCTAAACCCTGAATCCTTTATAGAACCTTTATAGATCCCTTTAAAGAATCCTTTAAAGGAACCCTAGGGTCCCCTATTTCCGGGAAGCTCCCATATACTTCAAGGTACAAGACCCTTTGTGTCTCTGGTCTAGGACTGGGCTTGTTTCGGCTCTAGCCTTCAGATTTAGGATGTGGGCTTAGGGTTTAGGGGGTTCAGGGTTTAGGGGGTTTAGGGTTCAGGGGGTTTAGGACTTAGGATTCAGGGTTTAGGGTTTAGGGGGTTTAGGGTTTTGGGTTTAGGGGGTTCTATTCTTGGGGTGGTCTCGCAGAAACCTGCAGCCTCTCCTTGGCGGGAATAGGAACCATGGCATATGCCTGCAGGAGCCTTTGTACCTACTTGCACAGGACATGTATATGCATCTATACACCATATATATATATATATATAAAATATAAAAGTATGTGTATATATAAATATATAAATATATTATGTTATATCATATTATGTTATTTACATAATACACATCGCATACGCATACGTAGTTGAGGGCGGGACTGAAGAAGCACATTTTTTACATGATGGCTTGTCAGTATCGTCCCTACCTGTTACTATTGCGGCTCCTTAAGAATGTCCGCTGTTCTGCCCTTATAAACCTTAAACCCTAAACCGCCTAATCATGCAGGAAACGACTTTAAATGACATCCCAGAAACCTTGAATCCCAAACCCTACACTCGCGACGTTAAGCTTTCTAAACTGTAGTAGTAAGGCGAATACTTTTCCTTGGACCTTTCCGCCGAACTTAACGCGTTTGGCTTCCTGGACGTCCGTGGCGGAGACAACGATCCAGAAGCTTGGCGCGGTATTTAACTGTTCCATGACTATGTCAGTCTTGCTGTTGAGCTGTTGTTGCTGCCTAAACCCTACTTAAATCCTTAACCCCGATGGTGGTGTTTAGCATTCGAGCTTGAGAGTGCGCGGTGGGTGGGCAGTCTCGTGACAGAACAGCGATCATAAGGATACCAAGAAAGGCCACCTGCGCTTGAGGGTTTTTGGTCTCGGCAGGGTTTAAGCTTCAGGGCTGTAAATGTACGTAAGTTTTGGAGTGTTTGAAGATTGAGCACCCTGAAAACTTTGCAAGGAGTATGGGCTGTTGCGCCACCTCAAGCGGAAATCTTTGTCAGAGTTGTGGCTTGCAATACTGCCCAAGCCGGGTTTAGCATTTAGCGATGGTCTTTCTAGAATGATTCAATCGGGTTGTGGGACTGAAAGTAAGAGTTGTCGCGTTCTAAACCTTTAACTCATTGTCATGCCCAAACTTTTGCTTCATTTGGCTGTCCAAAACCAGTGTACAGGTCAATGCCCTCACACTGGCACGCAAGTCGATCTGAGGCGTCGGTAGGCAGACATGCGAGAGAGGTCTTGCCATTGAAGGAGTGGGGCTTTCTGCGTGTGCGAGCTAGCGAGTTAGGTAGCCACAGCTCAGGATTTAGCTTCAAAACCGGATGCTCTAGACTCTAGACACCGAAGCCCGAGCGGCAAGAACACCCTCCACCGACCGTAAACCCCATAAACCCGAAAGCCCAAACCCGAACTCTAAATTCTACTGTAAGTCCCAGTGTTGCGGATGTAGGGGGTAAGAGTCGACAGTGGGACGAAGGGTTTCGAAGCCTCTTCGTGGGCTTACTTGGTCCAAGCGTTGAGCGAACAAGCCCTTGAGACGTTGTGAAGGGGTTTATGGGTTTAGGGACGCAGCAGTTTAGGGGTTGGGATTTGGGGTTTTGGGGGATTCTTTGACCCAAACTCCCATGTTTCTGCATCTAGCCCGCGCCGTTCAAATGATGTCATACAAGATGTCAGCCGGTGTTTCGAGAAGATGCTATTCGCAGGCCCTTGCCAAAAATTCGTTCTGCACGCTTGCAGCAGGTTTGCAAGGGTGGAGTGGTCAGGGTTCAATGCCTGCAGTTGACGGTCTAAACAGTGTTCAGTGTTTTATACTCTGCAATGTATACTACAATTACAGTTCCTCGGTTCTTTGTTGTCGGTCACCTTGTTTTTGTTACCAGCAGCCAGTCGTTACACTCCATAGAACTGGTTTACCGAGCAATAAACTATATGGGATAGCACACGTAGGCTTTTCCTGTTTTCACTTCAGTCACCTCAGAACATGTTCTAACAACATAACGTTCAGATGCTGGACCTTTTCTGTTTGCTTCACATTGTACCGTGCCTCTGAGGGGCAAAAAGCGAACGCTTAAACGCGTTGGAGTACGGATGAGCGATGCTTCTTAGGTTAGGAGCAGAGGACGGTTGACCCCAAGCCCTAAACCTTAAGCCGAATACTCAACGGTTTCAGTCCTTTCCTCGGGATGGCTTACTCCAGCAAACCGCGCAGCGGCTTCCAGTACCTTTTCTGCTGACACGTGCCAATGAAAGGCCGAGAGATGAAACATCAAGGGCTCAGGATATCATCGAAGCGTAATTACTTGCGCCAAGAAGTGAATGCGATGGACTGACATGCAGTATACAAATGGGAGTTTCCGAAAATTAGGGGTACCTTGTTTTGGGGTATATTATAAGGATCCCACTATTTAGGGTACTATATTAGGGTCCCATATTTTCGGAAACTCCCAAATGCAATCCCCAATCTGCCAGTTATACTCGAAACCTCCAACCCCTAGATTAAACGCTCAAAGGTAAGAAGCGGAAACCCTAGTGACGACTTCTTCCGTTGTGTCATGCAGTAGACCAAGCGATGGCCGGAACTCAGACTTCAAGAACTTCGTGGGTCAGGGTGCCCAAAGGGTCCAAGTAATGGTCTAGTATATACTTTTGGGGCGCAATACCTACTAAGTACCTACTATCATGGTACTTGGACCCTTTGGGGGTGTCTAGACTTGTGGACGTGGAGATAGAGTCTCATTGATTGTTCTCATGGCTTAGGATTTGTGTTGGGTTGCTTTGTGGCCCCCGATCAGCGTTTCGGGTTTGGGCTCCTACTGGGTCATACCTATTTGTACGCTCTCCCATGGATTAGATTTGAATTTCGTTCTTCATGCTGCCTTGTTGCATGGGTGTTGGCGGTCGGTGTTGACACACCATACACTTCAAAAACCCTCGACCCGAGATGTGGAAGTCTTTTGCCAGTGTCAGCTAATTAAGCAAGGACCGACATGAAGAGCCCAAGTGATGCAGTCCTGATCTGACTCTATGTAACGGTTGTGAGTCATAACAAGCAGTCGTAGTTCTCGCAGTGGTTGCCTGACTCTCTTCATCTCGGCCCTTGGTTTACATCTTCGCAGTTGGTCCTGACAGCGCTCTCTATATTGGATGTTGCTGGGACCCTGCTTGTGCAGTACGGCAGTTACGGTGTAACTACCCTTTGGTTAAGCCCGCCCTAAACCCAACACCTAAGCCCCAAACCCCTACCGTTTGCTTCATTTTCGGAACCACGGAGTTCCCCACCAAAAATGGAGGGTTCCGATCACTTGCCCTGAGGCAGTTTTCTGCGAACAGGATCTGGGCCCTCTCAGCACCTGGAACAGCAACGCATGCTAAACTTGTCTAAGTTCGCTTAGTATAATGGCTTGAACAAACTACGCAACAAGCATCCTAAGCATTCCTACAGACACATGCCAAACACATGCGTATACACAGAATAGATATTTTGGGTATATGTTCACATATATATATATGTATATATGTATATATGTACATATATATATATATATATACATATGTATGTATGTACATGTGTATGTGTATATATGTATATATGTATATATGTATATGTATATATATATATGTATGTATATATATATATATATATATATATATATATATATGTATGTATGTATGTATATATATATATATATTGCAGTACTGTACCACCGTACCCTGTTCTTATGATTATGGCCCCTATGAAGTGTTATCGGAAACATAGGATCGATGAACTACCGTTAAGGTTTAGCTTTACTGGGTTCGGGAAACCTAAAAGCCCCTTGTAGTAACCTTACAAGAACCCTTTAAAGGAACCTTATTCTAATTCTTAAGGCCCCAAGACTAAACCCCTAACCTTAAGGTTCAGCTTCGGGGTGTGAGGCAAGGGCCCCGGGAACTCATGTCGGTTGAGAGCTTAGGGTAGCTTTGGGTTTAAGGTTTAGGATGGGTTTGGGTTCAGGGGCAAGGTTTAGGCTTTAGGATGGGTTTTGGGCACACTCGAAATCCGAAACGGTTCAGCTTAGCATGAAGCGATGCTCGCAGTATCGAGTATAGGGCTGGACTATGCACCTTTTGCCAGGATTGAGGGTTGGTACTGTTGGAGTTTGGGACGACAGCGATGCAGCGCCCAGAAGCCCGATACCACTGAAAGCAGTAAGATTCCAGAAACCATAGCGGTGCCCTTGGCCTGATTGAAGGTTGATTGCGCGATTGCTGGGGCTTGTGCTCCTCCATCTTAGCTTTAACATCACTCCCGACAAATGGCTGTAACATGTATTCAGCGATTTTCTGGTGTTTTCAGCATGGTTAGAATCTAGTGTTGATGGTTTAGGCTCATTGGTTGGAAACATAGAGGGGTCTCGGATGTGTCGTTGAGAATGTACAATAAGGCATGAGGCCATGCTTCGATGATTAAGCCTTTACTAAGACCAACCGGTAGACCTGTTCTTTACTTCCCTGCTGAAGTCTGAAGAAACTGTCTCGACCGACTTCCCAACCTACTCTTCAAGTAGGCCAGGCGTGAGAACGCAGCAAACACGAAGCTTAGCTTATTCTGGCCGGCACCGTGCTTGTTGGTTAAGGGTGTATGGTGTTTGGATACATTACCAGTAGGCTTCGACGGACCGCACCTTCTGGATTGCTGTTCTGGGAATCTGGCACAGAAGTTTCCAGATTCGTATGTACAGTACACAGGCGAAGAGTCACCAGGCGAAGATGATGTTCTTCTAGGATGCCCAGTAGTACCCTTATTCCCTTTTTTGTAGTCCTAGGTTCCTTGTAAAGTTACCCAATGCCAAAAAGAGAGGCCTTTTTATTCTTAGCTTACTGGGTATCCTAGTCTTTCATGTTTGGCTGATAACTTCAGTGTGGCAACGCTGCATAAAACAACGTCCCAACCAAAACAGCTCCTCCAACCATCTGTGAAAGAGTAATTATTTAGGGCTGGTTAGGCAACCTTTAGCGGCGCTTTAGCCTTTAGGCCAAACTTTAGGCTTTGATGTACTCATCGATCCACGAACTGTTGCGAAAAGATAGCAGGACGGGCCTGAAATCGGTAAGCATCTGGCTCCAATAGGTTCATTGAGGATTAGTGTCCGCTGAAAATGAACAGGATGCTTGCTGCTGGTTTTACTACTCGCATTTTCTAGTCAAAAGGACACCCTCATATGGTACACTCGCTTCGACCTCCTGACTCTTTATGTACCGGAGGAGACAAACTTTTAAGTCTCCAAGCAACGCCTGGGAGAGAGCTACCTGGATCAGATGGACCTTCAGCCCCTGAGAAGTTTAGTGTAACAAAGCCACGAACAAAGGTTTTCCCAAGTTGATCGACAAGCGTCACGCTTTTACATGCTGGTGGATATGAGTGGACATATTCGTAAATGCTCGCCAGGAGCAGCAGCAGCCGCAGGAGCAGTAGCACTGAAGCAGAAGCAGTAGTAGTAGTAGTAGTAGTAGTAGTAGTAGTAGTAGTAGTAGTAGTAGTAGTAGTAGTAGTAGTAGTAGTAGTAGTAGTAGTAGTAGTAGTAGCAGTAGCAGTAGTAGTAGTAGTAGTAGAAGTAGTAGTAGCAGCAGCAGCAGCAGTAGTAGTAGTAGCAGTAGCAGTAGTAGTAGTAGTAGTAGTAGTAGTAGTAGTAGTAGTAGTAGTAGTAGTAGTAGTAGTAGTAGTAGTAGTAGTAGTAGTGTAGTCGTCGTCGTCGTCGTAGTTTGTGTTTGTGTGTGTGCGCGTATGTTTGTGTTGTTTTCTTTGTTGTCGCTGTGGTCGTTTTTGTTGTGGTCTGGTAGCTGTAGTAGGTGTGGTTGTGGTGGTAGTAGTCGTCGTCGAGGATGTAGTGCTATGATACTTGCAATAGCAGTCGCCGTGGTAGGAAAGATGCAAGAGTGCAATGTCTACCAAAACTCAACCACCAGTGTCCTGGGTCCTTGACATCTCTTCCCAGTCGTTACAATCCGCAGATGCAGGGCGTGTGCGATCACTGTTCTACGCCATGGTTCCTTTCAGGCAGCTTGCTTGTAGTGCTTCCTCGAACACTACAGATAATCGTTGCATTACGGGGCGATGTCAGAGCATATTCGGAAGATTTTAAAGCGGGTGCTTATACTGTCACAAAAGATGGCTCGGGGTTGCTGTGCTCTAACTACCTGGTGCGCGCCCCATTGGCGCCCGTGG